GGGGTGATTTCATCAGTTCCGTGAGTTTTTGTTTTTTACGGCTTCGCCGCTTTATAGAACAATATCCGTTCCCTGACGCGATGTGCGACTTAAGTTGGTTTTTAATTGCCAATTCCCTTGAGCGCAAAGCATTCCCGTTTCTGTGTTTCGGTGCAGTCGGGGCGTAAGATGGGAAACATCCTGCGAACGGTAAATGTAACATACTGTACCGATATAGCAATGCCAGTGTTTGCGAGACTTGCAACCATGCTGTTTCTGCGTACGCCTTGCAGATGCAGTTCGGTTTAACTAAACTTAGCTGGATAAATCCAATATCAGATGCTTACAGTTAATAAAAGTAATATAAAATTCAGAAATGAACCTTCTATTTCGTCTTAGCTGACAGACACCATTGTTTTCCTTGAAAACCAAACAATAAAACTGGTAGCAGAGCAAGCTTAGCCTCAGAACCGGAGTAACTGCAGCAACTGTTTTCTCTTTCGCACGTGGTCTGATGTGACGAAATGCAAGATATTGCAGATCTTGCTGTTTATTCAACACTGGTCGCGCGTCTCTAAGCTGGTACGATTTTAATGCTTAAATGAAAAATACATACTTTTTTCAATAAAATCATGAACTTTAACTTTAACTCACTACTTCGCTCCCGAATGCTTCGGGAAAGGAAGGCAAAACACCTACTACTTGCTCATCTGTTCGGCCAAATACGTCGGGCACTTCCAGGAATAACTTGGGCAAGTGTCTAACGGACTCTGTTCCATAATCAGGTTGTCGTGTGCCAAAGCACAAACGCGGACACAGGGTCGGGAACGTTGAAGACATTGGCTGACGCGTTTGCCTCTCCATTCCAAAACGATCTTCTGTCATCGAAGTTGACAGACTAACTGAGTTACTTGTTGCCTACAAAATTTTTCTTTCGTTTTTCATTTGCTATGGACACTACTAAGTCACTTATTAACAACATGCGATTGCCTGAAAAGCAGAGTATCTTATTTGTTGAATTCAGCAGAGAATGTTCATCGAACATTTCGTGTTGCTGAAAACGCTCCATCTCACATCATTGTTTAAAAACCGAACATTCGGAATCAGCATTACATCTGATGCTTTTTTTGTTTGCTAGAATGAGGCAAGTTTCAAGCTGTTAATGCATGGAGCATTTAAGCTGTAGGTTATTTCACTTGTTTGTTATATCCCTATTGGCACAGAAACATCTTCAGTCTGCATATGCTGTTATATTTTCTAAGAATCATAGATACTTTATATGTCGATGTGTCAGCATCCGATCAGGGTACATTACGATGTACTTTTAGTTTCTGAATTATACATAAACAAATTACACATCTGGTCAGCTAGTACTGATTGATGACCACTCTCTAAAAAGAAAAGCACTGCGAACGATCAATTTTAGGTAATGCTACCAGTAGCGTGGTTTCACCGGTGTTTATGGTTTCATAATTGTGAATTGTATACACACTGAGGAAGTTCCTCAAACAACAGCAACAAAAAGCTCGAGGCGGCAAAAGTGCCGTCGCGCCGACAGACAGTGACATCCGACGAGGCGGCGATGAATTGTTCCAGAATCGGCGGACATGCCTAACCAAGCTGTTTCGTCCATGTGTGTTGTGGTCTGTCTCTTGGCCGCCGTCGCAACGCGACGGTGGTACTCCGTTACGAATGTTTAGAGAACTGTACGTAACAGAGGTAATGCAACCCTCGTTCCCCCATTCCACTGGTATCTTCCTCCTATCCACTGCAATTTGACAAACACGTATTAGCCACAATATACCCTGTTCGCCTAAAACTAAAAATTTTTAAAGGCAGATTTTACTTTTCAAGCTTATTACACCTGTAACTTCATCTATTGAATGAAATATTCATTACCTGCTGCTCTTTAGGTGAGTCTTTCTGCGGTTGCTCGGGTTAATCAGTTCCTCCGACTACTCTATTCACCACCGGGCTGTATCCTTTTCCTTGGTAAGAAGGTGTCCGGTCTTGTTATTCAGAACTCTTAGACGACTTTCCCTTCAGTCTCAGTGGACGCGAAGGGTATGCCAGAATAGTTTATTTTCCGTCTGGCAGTTCGAATCCAGCTCGTCGCCTAGCTTTTTCTATGAATCAGCTTTCGTTTTGATCACATCTTTTCGTCTTGCCTGCGCGCTGTTTCTGACCGCTTTCCAGTTGACGGAATTTTACTTCCAAGCCATCTTTTGAGTGCAGCCTTCTCGGTGATAGGCACTTAAACCTTTCTTTTCCACGAAGAAGTTCGTTTCTGACCTCCAGGCGGTACGGCACGCAACCCGTTTTAAGCCACAGGTTCGGCGGCAACCTCGAGTAAGCCGCTTTTAAAGAGCTCCCATTCGATTTCCACATCAGCGTTCATCATCGAGGTTTGTTAAAACCGTCGTCTGACGTTGTTCGCAAATTTTGCTCTCGTTTCCGCCGAAGGCTGTTTCCCATTTGATTGTCTGGTTGCTTCTGCCAGAGAATGGTACTTTGTGTGGTACTCTAGTGTGGTATTTCTTACA